ATCTTGGTTTGGATCATTGCTGGGGAGCAAGTGTGATCTTTTGAACCCTGTTTTGTCATACCTGTATATTCTGGTTCTTTCTCATTTGTGTAAACTGTTTCTTCAAATTGTTTTTGAATTTATTTTTTATTTGACTGTGTTTATTTTTTAATTTCTTTTTCCCCCCTTAAAGATGTGACTTTAATGTTTATAGTTTATTATAGCCTAATTTGATTTTGCTGCTTTTAGGGGTGAAGATTCTGTGTGAGTTTCTTGGTTATACAGAATCTTTGTATGCTGACTTTCTCAGATGCTGATTGTAGTGAGTACTCAGTGTGTGGGCAATTTCATTGTATCCTGTGGAGTTGGAATGGCAAGGATCTCTTGAAGCTTATCGCATTCCCCCATGGTATGCACTTTTTATTTGTTTAATTTTTCCCCAGTATTCTATTTACTCTTTTGATGATCCAGGCTTCAGGCCAGTAGGGGAAGTATCCCTAGATATAAAGCAGTTACAGCTAAAGCAGGTGGTTAGATACAATACCCAGTGGTGGGCTGAGGCCCTAGCCTTGGTGAGGGTAGCTGGGGATCTCTCAGGTAGATGCACTGCGTTTTATCAGGGTGAAGAGTGGGAACTAACTCAGCTCACCTGTCAGGCCAGCAAGAAAGTTATCCACCTCCCAGCCTTACTTCTGTCCTAGTAGTTCAGCTGTTCACATCAGACAGGCACTTCTTCTCATCTGTAGGAATGAGGGATGTTGATGTTCCATATAGAAAGGAATTGTGACTCTGCCTGTTGTGCAACCTGAACCTAGAGAGTGCTTCTCCTGTGGGGATGCAGTCACCTCGAATTGTTCCAGGAGGGCTCTCCATAGATGCATTCATGCTGAGTTCTCATGGGAGAAGTTCCAGCTGTGTCTGTGGTGGTGGACAAGGTGAGGAACAAGGACCCCTTCTCCACAGCCTTTCACAAGCATGCAGGCTGCCTGCCTGTTGGGGTAGAGGTGCAGTCTTTCCCTGTGCATCCAGCACTGCAGTTGTGTCTCTGCTGCAGGAAACTTCCCACCAACAGAAAGACATGGGACTCAAGGTTTGCTGTACAAATTCTTTTGTCCTGTGGGGTGTTCCCTTGATGTGGTGCTCTCCCACTTCCCCTAGGAATAGGAGTTCCTCATAGCCAGACTAAATTGATTGTTATCGCTCTTCTGGGTCTAGCCATCCAGTGGGGCTGCCACATGCCAGGCTGGTGCTGGGAAATGTCTGTAGTCGATCTAGTGATGTGACCTGTCTTCAAGTCTCCCAGCAGTGGGTACCAGCACTAGCTCTGATGGTGGTGGCAGGGGAGTGACATAGACTCTGTGAGATTCCTTGGTTATAGATATGCTTAGTGTGCTGGCTTTCTTGAATGCTGGTTTCAATTGTAGCTAACTTTCACATGGACAGGCTCCGGCCCTCTAATGGTTAGAGTATTATAGGCACTGGTGATAGCTGAAGTCATACAGCCATTTTTTCCTTCCTGGGCATAGTGTTATTCTACTGTAGATGTTGTAGTGGACTGCATCAGCTAGCCTCCGGCCAAGAGGTGGTGCTTGGAAGAGAGCACCAGCTGCAGTACTAGCTGTGGGATTTGAGCTGGTCCTAAATTGCCTAGGGGAAGTAATACGGTTTTTGAGGCAATGAGCAGGGCTGTAGAGCTCCCATAAGTTTATGTTCTTTGTGTAAAGCTACCAGGGTGGGTACAGGGATACCACCAGGTGAGGATAGAGTTGAGCAGGTCTGTACTCTAACTCTCCTTAGTGAAGCCAGCCGTGGCTCCTTTGAGGGTCAGAGAGTGGTTCCCAGGCAGCTGGGATAATGTTCCAGAGGGTAGTGTAACTGCCTGTGCTGCACAGAAGAGTTTAAAATGGGAGTGGAGAGTAAGCCTCCACTGCAGGCAGCAGTAAGCCTCACCCAGCTCCCGTGCAGTTGGCAAGGCTGATCTCACTCCCCCAGTGTTCTAGCAGCACCAGGTTTAAATCCAGGCAGTTTGCACACAGAACCCAGACCTGCTCCAAACTGTAAGCTTTCCCATCTGTGCCCCTCCTGTCTGCCCATGAAACAGATGTATCTGCAATGCAAGTCCCTGCCCCCTGGATTCTACTCAAGGGAGTTCATTCCTGCTCAAGATTATATCATGAAATCCAGTTAGGAGCATCTTTCATTCTGTAACGTTTTTCTAAGCTAGTTGGCTGGCTTCCCCAAGGTTCCTGTGAGATATATTTAGGTATGGCTTCCCTTGGTCCATGCTGGGACCTGGGAATCCCTGCAAGGCATTTCCTGCTGCTACTTCTACTTTTATGTTTCTCACCACTCCCTTAAGCAGTTTCAGCTCTGGGTAGGGTTAAGGCCTTCTCCCAAGGCCTGGATTTTCAGATTCCCTCATGGGGATGTGTATTCTGAAGGTAGTCTCTCCCCACTCACACTCTGAGGATTTATAGTTTTTCACCTGTCTCATAGAGTAGACTGCAGTCTGCTGTTTTTTTGTTTGTTTGTTTGTTTATTTTATTTTTTCGTTTGTTGTTGTTGTTGTTGAGATGGAGTCTCAGAGTGTCGCCCTGCTGGAGTGCAGTGGCACAATCTCAGCTCACTGCAACCTCTGCCTCCCTGGTTCACTCATAGGATTCTCCTGCCTCAGCCTCCCGAGTAGCTGGGATTACAGGTGCACACCACCACACCTGGCTACTTTTCTGTATTTTTAGTAGAGACAGGGTTTCACTATGTCAGCCAGACTGGTCTTGAACTCCTGACCTCGTGATCTACCCACATCTTAGCCTCCCAAAGTGCTGGGATTACAGGCATGAGCCACCATGCCCGGCCAGCCTGCTGCTTCTTTCAAAGGGTCTGCGGATTCTTGTGGTTTTCCTGTTGAGTTTCTGTATTGCTCCTTGGAAAAAAGCTTACATGTGAATCTCTATACACTATTCTGTCCTTCCCAGTGGGAGGGGGATGCTAACACTGCCTCCAACCTGCCATCTTCTGGATTTGCTTCCATAGCCCTATGCACTTCTGTCAACAGGTTTTATATTAGACTGTGTGATTTGACTTACAAGCCAGTAGATGGTGTTTATAGGTAAAAGCTGGCTGTGGACAACGTGGCTGGGTATATTCTTGATCCTTGTTTATCAGGAGAAGCTCTCTGTTGCCTCAGGCAGTGGGGTGATCCATGGAGTACACAGTAGTCTGAGCTCCCTGCTTAGCTCTGGGTGGGCAGGGGGCAAGATGGATCGGGCCACACTGGACAGGCTCATTTACAGGTGCCCTGGTGTTGGACACAAGCACCAGTGCTGAGGGAGAATCCAGTGAGTGGCCATCAGGTACCCAGTGGTGTGCCTAGGCATGGAGCTGGGAAATTTCCTTGGCCCCTAGTTCTCTACACAGATAGAGGGGCAGCCTAAACTCCTGATCAGGAAAGTGAGTTTGGGTGCTCCAGTTACCTGTAAGTCTGCCTGGGCTTGGAGTGCAAAGGGCCCTGCTAGACTACAATCTCTGCATAACAAAGGTTGGGTGACTCAGGCTGGTAAGTCAGATAAGCAGGCCCTGCAACTGCCTGGAGATATGCCTGGGCATGGGGTGGAGAGGACCCCACTTCACCATGGTCTCTGCACAGGAAGGGCAAACAGGCTCAGTCTGCTGATTCAGGTGAGTGGGTACTCTGAATGCCTGGAGATCTGCCTGGGCATGGAGTGAAACAGGCCCCACTGCATCATGATCTCTACAGGAAGGATGTGGCAGCTCAGGCCACCAATCTGGGAGAGGAAGTGTGCCACATACCTGGAGATCTGTCTGGATGTGGAGAGGGTCACCCTGCACCAGGATTTCTGCAGAGGAGGGATGGGGACACTCAGGCTGCTATACCAGGCAAGCAGGAGCTGTCAGTGCCTGGAGACCTGCCTGAGCATGAAGCAGAGAGGGCTCGCTTCCTCCAGGATCTCTACATAAAGGGTGGAGCAACTCAGACTATCAGTCCAGATGAGCAGGTGCTTTGAACGCCTGGAGAATCTGCTTGGGTGTGGATCAGAAAGGGCCCTGTTGCACCACAATTTATGTATAGGAAGGGTAGCATGGCTCAGGCTGCTGGTTCAGGCAAGCAGGTGCTCTGAATGCATGGAGATCTGCCTAGGCATGGAGTGGAGAGGGCCCCACTACATGATGATGCATACACAGGAAGGTTGGGGCAGCTCAGGCTTCCAGTCTAGGACAGCATTTGCCTTTACTGCCTGTAGTCCTGCCTGGGAGTGGAAGAGAGAGGTCCCTGCTGCACCACGATCTCAGGAGAGCAGCCTGGTGCACACAGCGATGACACATTCAGACTGATTCTACGTTGCTGAACTGACCCTGGTTGCAAGTCTCATAGCCCAGGAGAAACTTTAGCTGTAGCATCTCTCTTCTCCCACCTCAAGCCTGCAGTAGTGAAGAACACAATTTCAGTGCCTACTGCTAGGGCACATTACACAGTTTTGGCTGTGGAAGTCCCTATCCCACTCCAGAGCAAGTGCTCCAATCTCTCAGTTCCAGGTCTAGGAAATGCCTGTGGCTTTTTCTGGTGTCTTTTCCTCTTAGCACCTCCAAGCCTTTCCCCAAGAAAGCTCCGGGGCTTGGGAGAAACATCATTCTCTGCCTTGGCCTGGGTTGGTTAGATCCCCAGGGGAAAGGTAAATTACAGAGGGAGACTCTTTCTCTTTCATGTACTGGGGCTTCACTCACTCTTTTATTAACTGGATGGTATCACGGGCTGTTTGCCTGTGTGGTCCTCCCTAAGATCTGGGGCATCCTTCATGATTCCAGTAGATTCCCATTTTCCTTCTTGAATTAAAGGTCAGAGAGTTGATCTTTTTGCACTATCTTGCTATTTCTAAGTGGCTGAGGCACACGAAAAGCCTGTAATCTACCATCTTGGAACCACCCCCTGGCCCCCAGAAAAAGGTGTTGGGTTTTGATCTTCATTCACCACTGGCTCTTTATGTTTCTTTACTGCTGTTTAGAGAAGAAGAGAAGAAGTTTGGAGTTGATCCCTTTGACTGCTCGAATGGTGATGGCCCACCTGGTGAACCATCTGGGGCACTACCCCCTCGGTGGGGGCCCTGCCATACTGCACAGCCTCGTCAGCGAGAACCACGACAATGCCCATGTAGAAGGCTCCGAGCTGTCCTCTGAGGTGTTCAGAAGCCCAAACCTGCAGCTGTTTGTATTTAATGATAACACCCTCATCTCCTACCTTCAGACACCACCAGAAGGACTGGCAGGTGGATCACCAGTGGGCTCTCTCTCTGATGTGAGAGTAATTGTGAGGGATATCTCAGGGAAGTACTCTTGGGATGGTAAGGTTTTATATGGACCTTTGGAAGGCTGCTTAGCACCCAGTGGAAGAAATCCTTCATTTCTGATGTCGAGCTGGCATCATCACGCATTTGGACCTCAGAAAGACTCTTCTCAGGTTGAGGAAGGGGATGATGCTCTTGACAAATTACTTGAAAACATTGGCCATACAAGTCCTGAATGCCTTTTACCATCACAGCTAAATCTAAGTGAACCTTCCCTACCCCCACGTGGCATGAACTATGACCAAGAGAAGGAAATCATTGAGGTCATTTTGCGCCAAAATGCTCAGGAAGATGAGTATGTCCAGAGTCGTAACTTCGATTCTGCAATGAAAGTCACCAGCCAAGGGCAGCCCTCCCCAGTGGAGCCCCGAGGACCCTTTTATTTCTGCAGGTTGTTGCTTGATGACTTGGGAATGAATTCTTGGGACAGAAGGTAACAATCCATGTAGACCTCCAGCTCTTTTATCATTATTTTCATGGAATTGTCCTTTCTATCAGTTTGCAGTTGGGGAAGAAGAAAAGATTAGAAAGATTGGAGAAGAGAGAATGGAGATTTTTCTCTATTTTAACATTTGCAGCCTATTTTCTGCTACTAAATTAAAACTTGAAATGAAATTATGCAGTACTGGTATGCAGATTGAATTCTAGACATCTGTTGGATATTTTAAAGGATATCAAGCAGAGAGAGGGAGAGTTGGGGGGGCGGGCGGGGGCGTGTGTATAATTACTGCTCTGTCCATTATTGTTTCTGCCTTCATGCAAGGTGCAAATGAACTACAAAGGTGAATAAGCCACAGTCTAACCTTAGGTCTTATGTGGGAGGTAGACTTGATACAACTCTGATAAAGGATAGAATGACACTGAACTTCAAGAGTAATGATTAAATCCAATGGGAAGTACAGAGCAATGGAGAAGACTTTGTGGAAAGGGGTGGATTTGACCCTAATAGTGGAATGGAGTTTTTAAGAACAGGGGTGGAGAAAAGGGAATCACGGCAGAGCTGACACTGGAAACAGACACAGGCACATGCAAACAAGTCACACACTCACCAAAGAGCCATCCATGTCACTGGGTAGTAATGGGATGCTGGCAGAATTTTTATACCTTTGCATGTCTTAAGGAAAATGGAGTTCATTCTATAGGTTTCTATCACAAATCTTTTGTGAGTGAGGTCATAGAGGATGGATGTTAGGTATGTTTATTAAATAACTGATTGAAAGCGGCAAAATGGTTCCATAATCACATGTTTTTTCTTCCATCCTTTTTTCTCTATAGGAAGAATTTTCATCTGTTGAAGAAAAATTCAAAATTATTGAGAGAGCTAAAAAATTTGGACTCCCGTCAGTGGTATGTAAAAGTGTATCAGACTGCTTTTTTCCTGTTTGTCTGTGGGTACTCTTGGATAACAGATACAGCTGCAGGAATGAATACACTTACGGAGACATCCAAGGGCAGTTCTGTAACCTACATCCAGTGACATTTGTGAACGCCGTACCATTGGTGTTTTTTACAATAAGGAATAAACTTTCATGTTCGGTACACTAAAAAGAGGTCACCCTCCCATCTAATCTGTAGTTTTGATTATCTTTCTTTCTGGCTGCCAGTGGAAATTTATTCTCATTTGATCTCTGCGACCACCTCTTTTTGATGAAGAAAAGGTTTACCTAGGTTAAGCAGCCCGGGGTTGCTCTTACTGTATTATCTAAAGCCACGTGAGTCTGACTTCAAAATCCATGCTGTGTACCAAGGCACTCACATGCTGTCCTTGTGGCTTCATAGTGTTGGAAAGGTTAAAACCAGTACATTGTAATTAATAAGCCTCATTCTCCAAAGCTGATCAGACTCTCAGCTCCAACCCTGTTCTATACTACTTCAGAAGCATTTCTTAAGGTCTCTCAGAACCATGAAAAGTGTTTGATTTGGGGAATGTATGTTTCCAAAATCATCTAAGTCAAGAATAAGTATAGTACTTGGTACATAACAGATGTTTCAAAGCTTTGAAGAGAATAAGCCGCCTCCTTAATCTTTAGTTTTTAAACCAAACTCTTAAAAAAAAAAAAGCCTCATTTCCTTTTTATTCCCCATAGGAATATCCTAATATTCTGTCAGCTCTCATATGAAAAATTCAGGTTGTTTTCCTCAAGTTTATTTTTCAGCTCTTCACACTGTATTTTATTCACTACATTTTTCTTAGTACTCATTAACTCATAAATTTTTAAATCTATTTTGAGCTGTATGTTTTTAGAGGGTGGTGCAGTTGCCAGCTGAGAAGTAAGAAGGAAGAAAGGAAATAACAGAGCCCAGCTTGATCTTTACAAAGTCTTATCCTAGCATTTCAGATAATTACTAGAGCTCTTTATTCCATTCATCAAATCCTTCATTCATCCACTGTCATGATTCCCTTTTAAGGCACGAGCTTCTCCTGCTTGCACTTACAGTGATGGGTTATAGCATGCTGAATGAATATTTTCACCGTCGTGTGTTGTCAGTGGCTCTGTGATGGTTTTGTTGTTTCTTTGAGAGTTTTGATCAAATCTCAAAGTGACACATGCTTACATTTTATTTTCAAGCAAACTCTTGGTTCATGCCACTATTATTTGCATATCACCTTCACAACTGTGATTCTTCTTTGGTGTTTTGAATTCTTGAATTGTGTATAAACCCAACTAATAAAGTCCAGTTGGAATTTTTTTTAAACACTTAGAAGATTATATTTCAGAAAAGTCCTTTGGTAATGTCATTAAGAACTGAGTAGATGAAATCATAGTAAACTTACTCATGGCTGTGTATTGTTTCCATCCTTCAGAAGCATGTGGTATTAAGATGGATTTGTTTGTATGTATTGATCATTTTATGAGAATCAGAAGGGCATAAGTTTTCTTTTCTTTTATTCTTTTCTCTTCTTTACTGTTCTACTTTCCCACCTGTCTCTCTAGTTACTCAGGACCCCTCATCACATCTCATAGCTACACACATTCAGAGGCATGAACTATTTTGTGTATGTTTCCAAGTCTTGGGAATGGGACAGGATGGCTGTTCGAACCTGAATTCCTCTCAGAAGGTGATATGAGGGCCTTTTCTCCTAGGTGGCTTTACTATTCTCTGGAGAGTGATAAATATTTCAGTATCAAGAAATATACAGACATTTTTTAAAAACACAGAATTAAAATATTCATTTGTAGTTTTACCTGAGTAAAGGAGCCATTCTCTGTCCAGAAGCCTGCTACAGCTCCATTGCCATTTTAACTGTCTTTGTTTCTTGATTTATTAGGTGAAGCAATATAAGATTTGAATTTGAGTAATTTTAAAAAATCATTAGAAGTGAAAAACCTGAACTGCCATTTCTGAGCTTGCCCTTCACTGTATTCTATTTCCTGATTATTCTTGTGATTCCTTTTCTCTAGAGGAACATAGATCAACTTCTCTATGGAAATTTTGTGAGGGATTTATTTTGAAGAACTCAGGGGTTCACTATCCTCTCCCTTCTTCCTTCAGTAATAAATAAGCAGTTATTTGGGTTCCACACTCAGCTTTTTAAGCATATGCTGAATTATTCCATGCTTCTCAGTATTAAGTGAATACTTGGTATCATGTAATTGCGGTCAATTTGTTGAATGTTAATGCACTTTAGTTGCATGAGGTACAATTGATTAGCTCCCTGGGGTATTTTTGCAGTGAAATACAGCTTTGAATAACTGAGTGGCAGTCTCCTACCCCTTGATCAACCTTCACTTAAAACCCCAACTCCTGAGTTTAGTGTCTTCTTGACATCAAACGGGTATCAACTTATTTTATGGTGAAGGGTATTTTCAAGGTTCTTTTTGAAGAAACTAGAAGTAAGTCCGGGATTCTTCAGCTGTAAGGAATCTAGACTGCCCTATATTTTAGTCAGGTAGCAGGTAAGAAAATACCTTGTCTGTCAACTTTCATTTAGAACATTTCTATTTAATTCTGATACCAATTTATCTCACTGCTCTGGATGCATATAGTTCCTTTTTAACATGTTCTCTGGAAAAGTTGAGGCTGTCTTTCAGCTATGGTCTAGATACTGAAAATGCTATGATGAATGTACATACAAATCACAGTGGCTTCCCTTTTAGATATAAATGCCTTCTTGCCACCACATGGAGAGGTGGATATTAAAATCATGCTTTTCTTTGGCTTTTTCAGGTGACAGCTCAAGGAAATTGAGCTGTTCTGGTATATTCCTAATAAGAAAGAGCAGTGTATTCTAACGAGGAAAGGGCGATTATTGATATCATGTATGTGTGTTCCTGAATTACCTGCTCCTTCATGCACTGGTGTGCTTCTTATGGATGTGAAGTGCTGTTGAAGTTGCTAATTACCATTTCAAAAGCATGGCTCTAGTAAAGGCAGACATAGCTTCTGCATCCTAGCAGGTTTCTGCAGTACTAACCTTTTGGAGGATGTGAAATTTGATGAATGTTTACACCTAAAGGTCATCTTTCCTCACACTCACATTGGTCATCTCATCATTCAGGCTTAGCTCTCTTGTGCTCCCACCTTGAGTTAGTGAGGGCTCAAGGACTTAGGAACAGCTGCAATGGAAAAAGCTTAGATTTTTAAGGAGAATAAACAAACATTTAGATAAACCTGAGATTTTTTTTGTGTGTGTATGTTAAGTTGATAAAACAAAGAAAAATTAAATGCTGAGGATTTTTACATATGTGGAGAGACCTGCAGATAGAAATTTAATAACTATACTTCTCCACCTTTGTTGAAAGAGGTGGTCTTTTAGGTCATAGGTTGCGGTTTGTTATTATCCAAATGCCCAAATTTTTATAGCTCTTGGAATAAGCTACTCAGATTCTAGGCTATTGATGTCCCCTGCCCATTCCTCAGGGCAGTGAATGGTGTGGCACTTTCAGGGCTTCCTGCTGTGTGAGGACAAGCTGTCTAAATTTATTTTAAGGACATATTAAAGATATTATGGCTGGGCATGGTGCTCAATCCTATAAAGCCAACACTATGGGAGGCCGAGGCAGGTGGATCACCTGAGATCAGGAGTTGAAGACCAGCCTGGCCAACATAGCAAAGCCCTGTCTCTGCTAAAAATACAAACAAAAATTAGCCAGGTATGGTGGCATGTGGTGACATGCACCTCTAGTCCCCGCTACTGGGGCAGCTGAAGCACAAGAATCACTTGAACACAGGAGGCAGAGGTTGCAGTGAGCCAAGATCATGCCACTGCACTCCAGCCTGGGTGACGAAGTGAGACTGTCTCAAAAAAAAAGGTACTGCAAAAAGATGAAAAACATTAAAGATGATCTTAAAGGGTGTATTAAAGATAACGTGGAAATGTCCTTTAAAATGGAAGCAACCTAAATGAGGATTTGGGCTATGACACATTAATATAATGGAATGTTGTTACAATCGTTAAACCTTTGTTGTAGAAGCACATGATATAAAAGTGTTCATAGTAAAAAATGGTCGAAATGGTGAATTTTATGATATGTATACTTTACCATAATAAAAAGTGTTTGTAAATATTTTAAGTGAAAAAATCTGTTGTAAAGCAGAATGTAGTAACTTCTCATATTTGCATGCAAAAGTGTATCCTAAAATGGTGTAGTGGCTATGTTCTTTGCTTATCTGTTGAAATTGCAAGTGATTTTTATTCTTCTTTTTTTTCTGTATTTTCTAATTCTTCTTCTAAGTATGTTTATTACATATAAACTATGGGGGAAGTGAATAAGCTATCTAACTGAATAAAAAGAGAGAACCCTCTTCCTCCAATTATTTGTATAACTTTTTAATTGAAAGTCAATTAGTTCTGCTTATTAAGTAGAGAAATAACTCATGCAAAAGGAAATCTTAGAGAATTTGTTGAAATATGGAGCCCAGTTCCACCAATATATCTAATCAAATTACAGTGTTGAAATATTAAACAACTTGACAGAAAGAATATTTCTGTATCTAAGTACTTTATAATTATTCCTAAGAGATTTATCAGAATGCAGCACAAAAAGAGGAACAAGGTGGAGCTGCTCTGGAAGTGGACATCAGAACTTCTAAAAACCCAAAGCTCTCGGATGATTGGGCTAGGGAATGAATGATTCGTTTGAATAAGAACAGTGTTTTCATCTCTAAACTCTCACCAAATGCTTGGTATAGATCCAGATACTTGGTCACTGTACTCCAGGGTACAATTTGTAGAAATTTATTATTAATGCATTCAAATGTATCACCATATCTCTGCTCAATGTAACAGAGATTTAACTGAATACCTACTGTGTGCAAAGGGATGTGCTAGATGTGCAAAAGAGAAAATGAGAGGGCTTTCTTTCTCAAAGTGCACATTGTAGTTCCTTGATTTAATCCCAGAGATTCCAAGATCTATCCTGGAACAAGCTATTGAAGGGTTTATATGGCTAAAAGGTGTTTCCCTGAGTAGCTATCCACCCTGTCAGGCACCCTCAGAATAGTCAGAGCACAGGAGTTGGTACACCCCTTCATGAAGATAATGCCTAAGTGTGTTCTGCTTGGAAAGATATTCTTTTTCTCATAAAACCTTGGCATACTCTATAGTTCCAATCACAGAGCCACCAGGTAGCCTTAAAATGTAGAGTTAAATATGGACAGTCACAAAGATCTATTCACAATTTCTATAAATACTGTAAAAGATTTTTTTTTTTACCAAAAGCAGAGAACTTACCAAATGGTGTGCCCCAGATGCTGCTCAGTCAGTGTATCTTACGTCTGAGGTTGTGGTCTCAGGAAGCAGATGGCCTTGCCGTGGTTCCCATCCCCTGCTTGCTGGGTGTGCTTTTTGTTTTACTTTCTGGGCCTCCTTTCAACCACCTAGCTAGGGAGGTGATAATAATACTCATCTCTTTAGCATGGTTGTGAAGAATAAGTGAGACCATGTGTCAAACCATCTCAGAACACTGACTGACCTCTAGCAGGTTCTCCAGTAAATGTAAACTCAGTGGTAGAAGTCATGCTGGTGGTGTTAATAGTAGTGAGACACAATTATATATATAAGAATTCTAACTCCTTTAATTTAAAAATTTATAGCCGTGAGACACACAAAATCGCAGTGTTTTACATTGCTGAAGGTCAAGAAGACAAGTGTTCAATCCTGTCTAATGAAAGAGGAAGCCAAGCATATGAAGACTTTGTTGCTGGACTTGGATGGGAGGTAATGCATTTCCTTCAGTAGGTATTTATTGACCAGCACTGTCTAAAGATGTGTCCAAACTAGACGTTGTGTACGTTTTTACGTGAGCATTTACATTCAAATATAGCATGGGCAGAGTTCCGGAACTGAAGAACTTACTGAATTTGACATCTACTGTTAGTTGCTTGTCAGTATTTAATACATGAACTTTTGTTTTCCCTTAACTTTCCTCTTAATATTTTTTCATTTGCTTTTTATCAGAGCTGAATAGTCAGATGGGCTCTCCCTGCCATAGACAGTTTGTAGTAAGAGAAGACAATGTGGGCAGAGAAGCAATGGCTTTGGCCACTGTATGGAGATTGAAGAAGAAATCAATGACTTGATGGGTGAAAAGATGAAGAAAGAGTTGAATGAAGTCAAAAGTTGCAATGAAAATATAATATAATAGCCATGATGGTTTAGCTATCAACCTGTTTCCCTAAGGTAGATCCCAGGATGATTGATGTTGAAAAAGTTACTTTTTTCTTTATTAAATTGTACTCCGACATACAGACATATATACATTTATACACACACACACACACACACACACACACATCACACATGCATATCTGTCTTCCAGAAACATAAATCTGAGGGAAAATATATTTCTAGAATCTGAAATAATTAGGAGTCAGTAGTAGTTAAAATGGAAATCAACATGTCTAAAATAATTTGCTTATTTTTTACTAGTTTCTTGGGTACCTGTGCTCTGAAGAACTCTCTGGGTGCCTTTGAGAGCTCAGTGCAAGCAAGGGGACTGAGGTAGGAAGGGGACAGGGTAAGAGAACATCATAGTCCAAACCAGCTACTCACAAGAGAGCAAGCAGGTGTCAATCCAATAGAGTTACTGCACTTCCAGGAAACTGTTGTTCCCACTAGCAAGGCTACCTGTACTTTGTCATAGAATATATTTATTACTTAATATTATTTTGAGCCATACAGTATCAATTGGAGTTTTAAGAGTGTGTGTTTACAATATTTGTCACAGAAGAGATTCTTCTATTTCTTTTTTGTATGTGTTAGAATAGGTATTTTCCTGAAAGAATACTAGTTGATGACAAGTTAAAAATGTTGGATAAAGGCACTGAGAAGTGAACACTCGTGCATAACTTTAAAGTGAATTACGACTCATAAACTTTCAGCAGTGGTGTAAAGCAGTTTTCCAACCCTTTTTTGAAAGGCAGTTTTCATGGATTCCTGAATTTTTTTAATATCCATGCCTTTTGACCCAACATCTTAGAAAAGCACTCCTTTGAGCGTGCTTTGTGATTTGAAGAAGCAGAAACCCCCACAGATCCATCAGAAGGGAACCTATGTATACATACACATATATGCATATATACACATACATTTACACATACAGGTGGGGAAAAAAAGTTAGAGAATATATACCAAAAGTTTGACAGCGGTTTATTCAGTTGGTATGGCTATAGAGCACTTTCATTTTTATTTTTTATTTCTTTAACATTTTAATCTGGTCTTACTTTGTATTACATTTGTTTATAATCAGAAAGAAAGACATAAAAATGAAAGTAATTAATTTTTTTCTGAAACCACAGCCCTGCTTAGTGAAAGAACAGCTCATTTTTGATCCTCATTCTTTCTTCTTTGTGATGTTTGTCAGGTGGATCTCTCCACCCACTGTGGGTTCATGGGTGGTCTTCAGCGCAATGGCAGCACTGGGCAGACGGCCCCTTACTATGCTACCTCGACCGTAGAAGTGATTTTCCATGTTTCCACTCGAATGCCGTCAGACTCAGATGATTCCCTCACCAAAAAGGTAAGGGGTCTCCTCAGGCACCATTCTTAGCTGCCCTGGTTTGTAGTTGAGGCTCTCCTAGGACAAGACAAATACCAGGGCAGAACACACATAGAGACAGTTCCCTTTGAACTCTACAATCCTGAGATTAAGGTTTATGAAAAGGAAGGGTCTTAAATGTTGTTACCTCCCTCCCATTAATATTACCTAATGGAAAATGACATTTTTGATCTCCCAGATTGTCATAGGTCACAAAGTATGAGACCCCTGTACTAGTGGGGCTCTGGGAAAGCAATTGCTGCAGGGCGATTTGGCAGCAGCTGTCAACGTAAGTACAGTTGTGCAGCTGCCCAGCAGCCCCACTGTTGCCCCTTACCTTTCATTCTTCAACTTGCCCTGTGGGCAGTTTTCTTTAGAATTCAAAGGGAACCTCATCTACCCCTGAGGAACCTCCAACCTGCAGGATGTTTGCTTCAGGCAACCCTGTGTTAAATGTGAGGAGCGCCTTAATAGAAGAGGTATTTGACTCTGGAAGGAAGCCTCTAATTGGATCAGCTTCTGTAAGCTTCCAGGTGAGAAGAGCATCTCAGAGCAACTGTGATCGGCACTCACCTGGCCTGCTAGCAGGTGGGGAACCTAGAATCCCCACCTTACTCTCTCCCTACCACATAGATGCAAGGGTGCAAGGGACTGAGGACACCACCTCGCATGCTGACTAAGGCTGGCCATTGGGGAGTCTACTGCAGTGGTTATAGCCAGGCCTTGGTGACCGGTGGACCAGGGATCAGTTGTATATTCAGTTATTTCATCAGCCTGTGCCTCCGTTTTTCTTCTACTAAGTGAGATTAAAAACACAGCCTATGTTACAGCATTGTTGAGTGAGGTAAATGAGAATTCCTATAAAATTGCTTAACACGGTACCTGGGAAGATGTCTCTGACCATCATCCCTCATCAGTGCCCATTGGTCTAATGGATTCTTTTATTTCCCCTGCGCCATTACCCAGATGCTTTACATTGGTTGGTTGGCCTCGCTGTACCTGCTTTATTTAGTGTGCAGTTTCGCTGGTTCACCGCTGCAGCCACAGACACCTGCGCTATGTACAGGCATACACACTTCATTGCACTTCACGGGTATTACGTTTAACAGACTAGGGATTTGTGGCAACCCTGCATCAAACAGTCCATCGGCACTATTTTTCTAACAGCAGGTGCTCATGTGTGTCTCTGTCACATTTTGTAATTTTCACAATATTTCTAACTTTCTTATTATTACATCTCATTCCATGGTCTGTAATCAGTGATCTTTGATGTTGCTATTGTAATTGTTTTGGGGCACCACAGACTCCCCATATAAGATGGCAAACTTAATTGATAAATGTTGGATGTGTTCTGACTGCTCCACCCACTGGTCGTTCACTGTCAGTCTTCCTCTCATTGGACCTTCCTATTCCCTGAGCACAACAGTAGTGAAGTTAGGCCAATTAATTACCCCGTAATAGCCTCAAAGTGTTCAAGTGAAAGGAAAAGTTGCATGTCTCTCACTTGAAATCAAAAGCTAGGAATGATTAAGTTTAGTGAGGAAGGCATGTTGAAAGCTGAGATACGCCAAAAGCTAGGCCTCTTGCACCAAGCATTTCCCCATTTTTGAATGTAAAGGAAAAGTGTTTGAAGGAAATTAAAGTGCTGCTCCAGTGAACACATGAATAATAAGGAAACGAAATAGGCTTGTTGCTGATATGGAGAAAGTTTTAGTGGTCTGAATAGAAGATCAAAACAGCCACAGCATTCCCTTAAGCCAGAGCCTAATCCAGAGCAAGGCCTTAACACTATTCAATTTTATGAAGGCCGAGAGAGGTGAGGAAGCTGGAGAAGGAAAGCTTGAAGCTTGCCAAGGTTGGTTCCTGAAGTTTGAAAAGAAGCTGTCTCCATAAAATGAAAGTGCAAGGTGAAGCAGCAAGTGCTCGTATAGAAGCTGCAGCTTATCCAGAAGACCTAACTAAGATCAGGCATGGAGGTGGCTATCCTAAACAACAGATTGCCGATGTAGTAAAAACAGCCTTCTGCTGGAAGAAGATGCTATCTAGCACTTTCATAACTAGAGAGGAGAAGTTAATGCCTGGTTTCAAAGCTTCAAAGGAACAAGCTGACTCTCTTGTTAGGGTTAATGCAGCTGGTGACTTCAAGTTGAAGCCAGTGCTTATTTACCATTCTTCAAATTCTAGGGCCCTTAAACAATATGCTAAATCTACTCTGCCTGTGCTCTATAAATGGAACAACAAAAGCAGGGTGGCAGCACATCTGTTTACAGCATGGTTTACTGAAGAATTAAAGCCCACTGTTGAGACCTACCACTCAGAGTCAAAGATTTATTTCAAAGTATTACTCCTCATTGACAATATACCTTATCACCCAAGAGCTCTGAAGGAGATGCAATGTTGTTTTTCATGCCTGCTAACACAGTATCCATATTCTGCAACTCACAGATCGGGGAGTAATTTCAACTTTCAAGTCTTATTATTTAAGAACTTGGCTATCACTGCCATAGATAGTGATTTCTCTGATGGATCTGGCAAAGAACATTGAAAACCCTCTAGAAAAGATTCACCACTCTAGATGCCATTAGGAACATCGTGATTCATCAGGAAAGGTCAAGATATCAACATTCACAGGACTTTGGATAAAGTAGAGTCCCACCCTCATGGATGACTTTAAAAGGTTTGAGACTTTAGTGGAGGAAGGTCACTGCACATGTAGCAGAAATAGCAAGAGAACTGGAAGTAGAAGTAGAGACTAAAGATGTAACTGAATTACTCCAATGTCATGATAAAATTTTGACTGGATGAAGAGTTGCCTCTTATGAATAAGCAAAGAAAAGTGGTTTCTTGAGAAGGAATCTGTTCTCAGTGAATATGCTGTGAACATTGTTGAAATGACAACAGAGGATTTAGAATATTTCATAAGCTTAGTTGGTAAAGCAGTGACAGGGTTTGAGAGGATTATTCCAATTTCGAAAGAGGTTCTACTGTGCTCAAAATGCTGTCAGACACCATTGCATGCTACAGGTAATTATTCCATGAAAGGAAGAGTGAATCAATGTGGCAATTTGATTGTCTTATTTTAAGAAATTGCCACAGCCACCCCAGCCTTCAGTAACCACCACCCTGATCGATCAGCAGCCACCAGCATCAAGGCAAAACCCTTTACCAGCGAAAAAATATTACAACTCACTGAAGGCTCAGATAATCATTAGCATTTTTTAGCAATAAAAGATTTTTTAATTAATATATGTATGTTAAGAAATAATGCTATTGCACACTAAGTAGACTACAGTAAATGTAAGTTTTATGCACACTGGTTTCCCAGTGCACACAAAAGTTTGTGTGATTTGCTTTATTGCAATATTTCAATATTTTAAAAACCTGTTGCAGATATGTCCAGAACCAAGCCTATAAAGTCAGCAGTGCATGTGAAACATCAGAACTCGAGTCACGGCCCAATGACAGACAACTTTCATATGATAAGGTGTCTCAGATGTACAGAACACATTTGCATTCAAAAACTCATCAGCCTTTTCCTCTCCTACCCCAGCATGCTATAATGACCTCCTGGGGGTGCCAATACTGCAGCCAGAAGAGCTCACCACGTGCTGCTTCCCACAGACCTTGGAGGGGCTGCCTCATTGTTGGGTTTTGATGGCTGCCCTGGCTGTAGAGCTCTCAGGAAAGGGAACTCTGCCCTCCAAGAGTTCACCAGGATCTCAGACTCTAGTGTAGCTTACCAGGACCCTAAGCTGGGCTTACACATCTTTTTTATTTGCAGTACATTGTATATTGTTTCTGCTTTGCAAATGTGTCACCATATTCTATAATTTTCTTATTACTGAGAATTATTTTGTTAAAAGATAAAGTTTACATATAAAAATTTTTAAATTATTTCTTAAGTGAAGTAGGACGGTTTTTTTCTTTTCGAGAAAAGACATGTTATCTTGATAAGATGCCATGCTGTAAATAATGTTCTAAGGCTTGGTCTGGTTGAAAGATTCCCTACTGTAATAATAAAAATTCAGCTGATACCTTTTGCAGCTCTAAGATTTAGCATCATTAGTGATAAACTCTCTTTATCAGATATCTCACAGCTAGACTAAAAATCAGTCACAGTAACAGCAGCCCACAGTTCCTTGTCTTATTCTAACTAAATTGTCCCTAACAGCTTAAAAATGAGCTGCAAAATTCTAAAGTGCTTCATGCTCTCTTCTGCCCCTATCATGGGGGGACTTTTTCAATTCTGCAATCCGGTTGCAACCCCATACTGAACTCTTGATCCTTCACTGCAGAAATTTGTTAGCTCCAGCTAGATTAGATTTTTCACAGCTAATCTAACTGCTGTAGGGGTTTGCAGAGTGGGGACAGAGCTGTGCTATTGGATTTGTCCAATTCATTTGACTCCAGGACTATAATTGCACTTATGTCTTACAAGGCTTTTATAGCCTCAGGCTGGCCAGGCACATAAAAAACAAATTGGCAGTGATACAGTATGAGTGAAACGGGATGAAAGGCCCACATTATCAGTCTCCAGGCAGCGCTGTTCTGGCAGGAAGTTTCTTGGTTAATTTACAAATAAAACTTAGATTTTAGGATGGGCACACTGTCAGCTGAACAATGGGGATGTCAGGCCTGACTGTTACTTAGTAAAAGTAGCAGCCGGGCCCACTGAGGAGCAGGAATTCTTCAATCAAACAGACGACTCCTTCTGGAGCCAGCTGGCGATGTAATGCAATTAGTCGGGAAAGGAGGTCAGCCTATTAGGTGTGTACCATGACCAGTGTCACCAGTGGCGTGCAGCCCGGCAGCAGCAACAGACAGAATGGCTTAGGCAAAGGGACTTTAAAACTCTGTTAGGATGAGAAGTTGTGGGGCATGGGATTGATTTCTTAAGACTTAAAATCCGAGCATTTGTTCTGAACCTGCTAAGTATCCAGGCATTCTGGAGCCTGTCGTGCAGTTGAAGGAGTAGCTGACATAAACACCGGCTCCATTCCAGGAGACTCGTCGTTCTTCCCCAGTTACACAGGAGTCAGATCAACTTGACTTGTGTGTACTCACTAAACTCACTGGTGGATTTCTAATTTGAGGGCTTCTAATCACTGTTCTCCAATACTCACAAAATGATGTCTCTGTAATAGACTCTTTTTTAAATTGGGCAACAATTTGAGGTGTCCAGAGTATTTCATATGTTCTAACATGGTTGATATGTTAGATGAATTTTATTGACATGCCCAGATTAATTTTATTTATTTTACCTACCTGTTTTCTTATAGGCCAAAGAAGGCATATTTTTGCCATTTGCTCCAGATTTATCAGCCAGATGCTCCCATGGCCTTAGCTTTTAGTTTTGTGATTTAGCTAATTTAAGTGTGACGTATCCAGAAGTCTGAGTCACGTGCCCCTGAAAGCAGCTTTGAGATGATGAATATCATATCGTTACCACACAAAGATAGCTCTTCCTTAATTACAGAATTGTCACACTGGGAGGTTGGGTCTGTTAGTGTGAAACTACCCTCCCTGTTGTAGGTCTGAGAATTCAGATGCAAGTAAGATTAAGAGAGACTTACTTAGGTTATATTATTGAGTAACCCAATTTGAAATGGGAAAGTAACTACAAAATTTCAATAATCATGGTTAATGTTTTGCAACTAATATTTGTGGATCAAAAGGGACTATCGTAGAAACTAGAGTGCCAACATGGGGTAGTGGCAGCACGTCTGAGGGGTGTTTAGTAGGTGAGCTGTTTCCATTTAGACATTTGTGCAAGCGTTATACCAAGGGACCCAGAGTCACCCTGAAGCTGGCTCTCTTTGCAGGGTGAGGGCTGTAGGTGTGAGGTCTGGGACAGCCCCATTTCTCACAATTACCTTCTGCAGGTCTAAATTCCCCCTACAGTTCCAGTTAGATACTATTCATATTTCCCTGAAAACATACCTATATTAGGTTCTTGGTGATGCTGGCTACCATGTTTTCACTCCAAAAGAACTGAATTTTACGAGTGCATCATAATGTCTTTGCATGTTTTATTAAAAAGGAAAAAAGAAAAGAAAAGCCATAGCAAAGATAGGAATGGAGAAGTGTAAAGAGATGTTCAGCACTACTAGAAGGCCTAGTGTTGTATTTTGTTTAAAACTATTTATATAAAGGTTTTGCTATATGTTTTGCTGCTATTCTTTTACCTTTATATTGGAAGGGGGAAGGAAAAAAATGATGTACTGGGTTATTTTGCTTTTAGAAAGTTGTAGATGCCATTAAATTGCTCTGGATCATCGTGACTTGTGCTCAGCACCCACAGTTGCATTTGTCCCAGAGACCACATTCAGACACAGTTGAATCATGCATCCCTCAGTGTAGGTACAATGGCACAGGCACAGGTCTCTTTTTAAATAACTGGCCTGTATAGTCGTTCCCAGAAGTGTGAGAGAGTGAAGAATAAACAGGCCTTGCAGCAAACGAGCTTCCTTTTGTAACATTGGAAAAGAGGCTATGTTGAGGTTGCCTTATATTTTCTTTTTGTGGTCAAATAGTCTAAAGAAAACTGTATATATGCTAACATGTTTTAAATACATAGTATTCCAGAAAACCTTTTTTAAAAATACTTTAAGACAAAACTAAAAATATCAGATTTGACGTCTCTATTTTACTAAACTGCTTCTGAATTTAGTCATTTTTAATGTTCATCTGTTAGATAAGGAAGAAAGAAATACTTATTCATGGTGCCAGAGAGCATCCTTCTGCTGTTCCATGTGAGAGAATGAGAATCTCGAATTCCCAGAAGGTGTCAGAGGGCCTCACCAGCCTTTGTGGTTCCAGAACTTCAATTCTGGTTAAGATTTTTTTTTTGAGACGGAGTGTCGCTCTTGTTACCCAGGCTGGAGTGCAATGGTGTGATCTTGGCTCACAGCAACCTCCGCCTCCTGGGTTCAGGCAATTCTCCTGCCTCAGCCTCCTGAGTAGCTGGGATTACAGGCACGCGCCACCATGCCCAGCTAATTTTTTGCATTTTTAGTAGCGACAGGGTTTCACCACGTTGACCAGGATGGTCTTCATCTCTTGACCTCGTGATCCACCCGCCTCGGCCTCCCAAAGTGCTGGGATTACAGGCGTGAGCCACCGCGCCCAGCCTTGGGTCAACATTTTAATCTTTATAATCTAGTTTCTTCTAGTCACACTTTGATTCTTTGTCACTTAAATGATTTTGTATGCAGCTTTCTCCACCTTGAAGTGGCATAGTCATGGAGATTTATCAAGGGTGTTCTTAGACCTGACAGAACCTAGGCCTGTAAGAACTCTCAAAGGGTCTGGTTTTAGAGATCTTTCTAATAAGGCCTCCTCAAAGAGGCCAGGGGACTGTGATTTGCTTTTGTTCTTTACAACCTCTTTGTGTATAAGATGATGAAACAAGTGGGCTACACTACTGAACAGTAACAGTAAAGTAACTTTGGGTGCAGGCTTGGGTAGCCTTGAAACAGTGGAAATGGACCTGAGCTGGAAGCCCCAGTGCATGTCCCCAGGCCCACTTTGCCACTGCTGCTCACACATCCTCAGGTAGGTGGTGCCTTCACCTTCCTGATTGCCCATTTCCTTTTTGTACAATAAGATGAAGATGCTGTCATCTACCTAAGAGAGTTAGTGGGAAGATTAAGGGAGACATGTGTGAACATGCTTTCTATACAGTAAGCACTCTTTAAATGCTGAGTAGGATTGTTCTTATCAGACTTAAGCAATAGTTATTCATTTCCTAAGCAAAGGTAGTTTTATACATCCTTTTCTTAAAGGTTTGTCACAAATCTAGTTCCTTATACATTTGGTAACAATTGTGTTGTAGTGGCTTATGTTCTCTTGTTCATATTCTTATTTTCATAATAACCGTTGAATTACAAGTCTTATAAAGCACAACTGCAATGTGGAATAAAAGACACGTGTTATTAATTGTTTAGAAACATATTTGACAATACAAAGCATAGTACTCTGATGCAGGACTAACATTCTGTTAGAAAATAAATTCTTACAAAGGCCTCAGCCCCATCCAGTCGTAATGTGCCTGTGAAGCTTGCTTGCCTTACCTTGGTACCAACGACAGGCTGTTTTTATGTACTTGTGCTTTTTAAAATCCTCATAGAAGACATCAGTGTTGTAGCATTTTTTGGTAGTAAATTCTTTTGGCCTTTGAGTTTTATAATTCAATTTGTAAGCCACGACCCCTCATAAACTGCTGTTATCACCCTGATTAATTGAGAGCCAATTTGCCGTTGCAGCTTCGTCACTTGGGGAATGACGAAGTCCATATCGTCTGGTCTGAACACTCCAGAGATTACCGCAGGGGTATTATCCCAACCGCCTTTGGAGATGTTTCAATCATTATTTACCCAATGAAGAATCACATGTTCTTCATTGCAATAACGAAGAAACCTGAGGTATGTTTTCATTGCATTGTTACACTGACTCATACGGCATTTGCCATGTGATTCACTGACACTGAAAATCAGTAATTGAAGTATGTTAAAGGGGACTCTCATCCAATTGTTGAATGTCTTTACATGCTATATAGCAATTAAATATGAATTGGGATTTTCAAAATTTTTCATCATGAGCACAAAATTTTATTATTGTATTACTAGGCCCTTTTGGAAATTATAATGTCAAATTTATTAGTTTCTAAATGTTTTAAGTTTCCTAAATTTTGTACTTTTGAAAAATTATAACTTGAAATTTTTGGCATGGTGATTAATAATAAGAGTTGAAGGAACCCCACGTCACATCTAGCATTTTGTGGAGAACTGTGGGTATAGAATCCAACCTTGCCTGGTATACGGACGCTTGCTGAGCCTGTGACTGTGCTAATGGGGTCAGTCCTGCATGATTGCAGGCATGTCCATGAAGAGGCCGAGCCTCTGGAGCACAGCCCACGTGATGAGTTTCAACAATTGGAGCACCTTGCTACAGAATCAATTCAGCCATGTCAATTGGTATTGATCATGGGAAGAGCTGGAACAATCCAATGATCTGTGTGCTGTATAATAAATTGGCTGCAGTTTCGATCCTTTTCATACCTCTAGTGGTGTTTTAGCCATGCTTTATGTAGCGACTGGTTTTTGTTTTAGAATTACTCATAGAAAGTTGTTTTTAAAGTTTTAAAATTAAACGTTAGTATATTAAGCCATTCCTCAGGAGGAATGACTATGTTTTTCAGCTTGATAATAAATATAATCTTCATTTTAATTTCAAGTTGGTTTCCTGAAGGAGCTGAAAGTTACCCTTCTGAAAACTCTTTTAAAGCTTTGAAATAATAGGCAACAGATTTATTGTTCATTTTGGGATTTATGACCTGATCTAAAGGGTTAAAGTTGTTAAGATTAAATGAGCTAATAAATAGAAAGTGCTTCAAACAGTGACAGGTCCAGAGTAAAAGCTACTTAAGTGTTAGCTGGTATTATTATTGTTGTTGTTATTTTTTGTTGTTACTACTTGGAGAGGGAATACTTAATGATTCCAAGTTTAACATGCTTATTATTCTCAGAGTAAATGCAGTGTGGGTCAACTCCTGAATTCATAAAAGTCCCATTCTCGCTGTTGCAAAGCCTGACATAAAGGGAACCCTCTTTTCTATTCAGGGAACGCAGATGCCAAAAGTCGCTTCATATTAAATATTTGCATCATTTTGATTCTGATCTCCATGTGCATGAAGTTTTTCAGTTTTGTGTATGAAAACGGCTCTTAGTGCTAACATTTGTATTTGTCCATGAAGAGCACTACTTTAAAGAATTAAACTGAAAATTTTAATATAAGGGAACCAGTGAATTTAGTGTCTTGTAGATTTCAAAAATAGGAAATGTGTTTCTTTAATATTTAGTATGGAGTAATTGGCTTTATTAGCTCATTTTCAACATGGTTCTCTAAAATGTCATTTATTGTCCTAAAAAGTCACCTTTATTTTTAAAGTAAATAAAGAGCATACAAGGCATTTTAATTCACTTTATAGAATCAAAGTGATTTTTTAAAAAGATAGTACACTTAAAATGCATGAAAATAATTATTAACATACCTTGTAAGATTCTTATAAAATGTTTGTACATTTTATGAATTTGGTTATAAATTCTGACAAGAGGAATTGAGTAAATTGCTTTCTTAATATTTTAATTCAAAAAGCCTAAAAGGAAGAAGAGAATAATGGCCAACTGGAAATTTAGTATTATCCCTACATTTAAAGTACAAACCATTACAATGTAATAAAATTAATCCAGACATTTCCAGGGCAAGTGTGGCTGACCTTTTGTTCACCAACCACTGACCCCAGGGTGAATGCAAGAGGCTTGCGGAGGGAAAGTCTGTTTGTTTGGCTTCAGTCCCTGGTATTTAAATTGCATTCCCTAATCAAATGAAAAGCCTGTCCTCTCTATCAGGTTACAGAATCCATGGCAACATTTGGCCTTTTATGTCCATAATGTTAGCCTTTTTGTTTGCATCTAAGTAGAGACACCTGGAGCAATGTTAACATTAACCGATTTAGCATTAATAGCTTCATTATATAAGAATTTCTGATCAGATAGCTGTTACTTTTGTTATATTGCTTCAGCTTGTATTGTTGTCATTTTTTATCTCCCTGCTTGGCAACCAGGCAATGATTTGCAAATTTTTTTTGTCTTGATTAATTAAGCAATATAATTATCAGTAACCGTGATGCAGTCTTTGCTCAACCAAGCTTCTGAGAGAAAACAATGGTAAGTCTGTTAGTATGAATGCATTCCACGCGTCCCAGATGCATGAGGATATTATGGACAATGAGGGGAAAGGCCGCCTGTGAGCGAGGACAAAGGGTGCCACGCAGACTCGACACACTGCACATACCGCCAGGGACATGCTGCGGGCTCCCTGGGACACAGACGCCTCGTTAGATTACAGCTAGTCAGCAGAGATTAATTCTCAGCCATTTGGTGCAATAATTTACCCATTCCCCAGCCTTTTAACTAGTGCTCCTTACTGTGGAAGGGAAGGCTTTGTACTCATAAGGTTTATTTAACCTTGCCTGCTTTTAGGGATCTCCACCAAAATCATTATTTTTTTTCTTAGAAATTGTAATGACACAGTGGCTTGAAGTTAAGGAATATTCCTTTTGGAGGACAGGATATGTATAAGTTTCTGCAAATGTAGGTAGAGTCAAAGGTATTCTTTTAGCACCTGTATATTTCATCTGAACATAGTATGACTCTGTGGTCTCAGTACATTTATTTTACTGTTCTCTGGGCAGCCATACTTCTCTAAGAATAATTCTAATCCTTTTTAGGAGGAAAAAAAAAACCTCATCAGTACACAAAAGTCTTGCTCATTGGATAGAGTCATGCATATTCAAATTGTACTTTCATTCACTTGGCCTCATTAATAGCGTATGTAATAATGTAGGGCTATTTGTAATACAAGCTTACAGGCAGCATTGCTTCCAAGTCCTTTGAAATTTAACATATTTCGCTTTTTCATTCCATACACCTCCCTTAAATATACAAATTATGTGCCTGGCAGAATCCGCCTCCTCTTAATAATACACAGCATTTGTGAATGGTATGTTGAAGAAGTGTGGGTGTGCTTGTGTGAGTGCATAAAACCCTCTCATCTGAGAAGGCCTGTTCACTTCTTGAGCTTTGTATTGAACTTCTTTTTTTCACTAAATAAAAAAAAAAAAAAAAAATCAGTGTGCTTAGCAGCATCATTTCATTGTTAAATGACTATCAAAATAAGTCCATCTCCATAAATATTGACACAATAGTTCTTTGGCCATAGAAAAGAAATGTGTTATTGTTAGACTTATGTTTTTTCCAGCTTTTATTACTAAGTCCGCAGTCAAGGAAAGACTTGCATATAGAGCAGAATGTGAGTGATTCAACGGGTTTGTGAAAATGCCCGATTTGTTCTTCAGAGAAGCGGTTCATAGAGCCTCCACACTGTAGTGAGTACCCACACTGCTTTCTCTCCCTTTCAGTATCTGGAAAGCAATACTGGTGGCAAAGTGTTTGCCTTTAGAAATTTTTGAAGGTAAGTTTTAGTGGTTTGGGCACGTTTGTTTCCAGGCATAGTAGTGGTTGATGGTGACCAGTTGCCGGAGGATAGATGTTCAGAAGCAGCCTTGAGAAGGAGCAGTTGAGACAAGAGGAAGTTTTGGTGAAGTGTCCCCCTGTTCACCTCAACCAGAGTGTCCTTTTTGTAAATGGGAAACATGCTAATGTCCTCTGAACTCTACTTACTCAGCCCTGGTACATATGCGCATGGAGAAAAAATGATACTGATTTGGTCATTTCTGAAAAGCATAGGAGGGAAAGAGTAATAAGACAGGTGATGGGACACCAGAGTTCCAGTTCTAAGCCCACCACAGGCTGGTAGGTGTCTTGGGCAGATCTTTCCATTTCTTTGAACCTTAGCTTCCTCAGCTGTGAAATGCTGGTTGAGAACCAAGGCTTCGCTGTAGTCCTTTCAGGGATTCTAAATGCCTTTTTTGGGATCCTCTTGTTCCTAGATGCCTGTACATGATTAATCCTGACTATCCCCAGAGCATCATGGATGTAGTCACTGACTTGAAGTTTCAGCATCTTTTGTGAGAGAGAGAGAGAGAGAGAGAGAGAGAGAGAGAGAGAGAGAGAGAGAGAGAGAGAGAATGTGTGTGTGTGTGTGTGTGTGTGTATGTGTGTTCCTACATCCCTTTTCAGAGTGACATCTAGCCCAGGACCTATGCCTGGAACAGGTGCCCAGAAATGCTGGGAAAAGGCTGATATGCCAGAAGTTACAAGAGCATTTGTACGTGGGATGCTGAAAGGAGCCTCGGATTGGCACTGAGTTTGAAAGGAAATCTTTTAAGCTTACTAGTTTGGCCTCACAGTATAGGGAGTGTGTTCGACTTTGTAACATGGTTATGTAAATTTCTTTCTTTTTATTTATATGTGCAGTTTTCTTAAATATTTATTCTAGTCTCAACCAACTAACCTGTTTAAGAGTAAATCATGCCCTTTAAAATACTCTGGGAAATTCTCAGAGAAAGTATATTGGTAACCTTTGAATATACAAAGAATTATTTATTTAGAAAAGATCATTGAAAATACCAAACAACCAGAATGTACCAAAATGTTTATTAAATGGATTACTATATTATGTTCTTTTTGGATAATTTGTGATTATTGTTATTAGCATTATTTTTAGTAAAGGAATGACATTGAGAACTATGTGAAAAGGCATCTGTCATTTGCAGATGTTAAATTAAAATCAAATTTCTTCTCTAATTCATTGCCACTTCTAATTAGAGGAATTCCCTGGATACAAGGGATTTGTATTATTCCTTTTGTTCAGTTTTTGAAAGACTGAGTCACCCACGAGCAGTTGCTGAAGAATACTAAAGAACATTTATTTATACAATAAGCCGTGCTGCAGATGGAAG